AATCCTTCCTTAGGCTGGAGTTCAAAGCAGGGAAAAAGCTCTTGGAAAAACCTACTTCCTCCACACATCTGGAGAGCAACGTCAAGAATTTAGCTGAGCTCAGCACAGTTTCACATACCTTTCTCACATGACTGAGGATGGCTATTTTTATTAAAAACAATCTTCAGAGCAAATGCAAGTTACAAAAATAGGAAAAAATGCAGCTGTACAAATCCCTGGGAGCAGGCATTTGCAGACAATTGCTGTGCTTGCACACAAGCCACACGAATTGCACTGAAACCCAACACTTTTCTTCAGGCACCACTGCAAAAATGCCAATTAAAAATGAAGATCCTTTTCAGTTTTCAGCCATCCTGGTTTTAACCAGTGTTTTGCTGGTGCAGTCCAAATAATTGTGCTCAGCCTTGCAGTAAACTCACTGCAACCAAACAGCAGCCCTGAAAGGGAGAAATTGTTGCCCGCAACTTTACCATCTTGAAGAACGATGTTTTAAATACCCAATCTTGAACAAGGGGATCCAAAAAGATGGGGTGCTCTTGGTTTTAGTCTAGGCCAGGTATATGCAAGGGATGAGCAAGTTCACACAATCCTTAATAGGATTTATCAAGCAAGGACTAGCAACTTGCAGATTGTACAAACCACATTCAGCCAAAACCCTGCTCTCCTTCAAGCAGCACTAGTACCAATTGTCCAGATAATTAGCAAGTTCCACTAAGCACCTTCTCCCTCCTCATCAACTTTTTCCCCCCATAAATTAAATGCAAAACCACTTAAATGCTGTTAGAGAACATCAGTTTAAATGCATAAAGGGTCAATTATATATAAAGACAAAGATACTACAACAAATCAATTAACCTGAAGAGACAGTGCTTTGTGCAAAACAACATTCTCATGTCTGGTTGAAAAGGCTTCTGAAGACGAGTGGTTTCTTCATTTCCCTTTGTCAGGGGTATGAGCAAAGCTTGTACAACAGGCAAGAAAGAGGAAGAGATGATTTCCCAATGACACATGGGAAACACATGACACAATGAGTCCTTGACATTCACAACCAAGACAGAAACTTCATCTGAATTTCAACTGAACCGGTCCCTACCCCAAAGTAAATTTGTTCAGATGTCCTTTTCCTTAGCTAGACTGCCACGCCAACATGCCACAGCATTTTTGTAGTTTCAATGAAAAATATGAGTGAGTCTCTGCAGCCTACCAAGACACCATCAATCTCATCCCAAGTCCTAGGCAAGCTGTTGACACCCAGCGTCCTCACCCTGTTAGGCTCTGCTGGTCAAATGCTGATCAGCAGGGATGGTGCAGAACCAGGAGCAGCATCTTCCAAACAGGCACCAGGACAGCTCATTCCTCGCATCTCCTGTGCCATAATGTTTATATGCAGGATACTGGATGATATTCACAGTGCAAAATAAAGCAGTCTTCTTGAGAATAGTTACTGAAACATCATCATATTGCCACGATCACAGTTTACTGACCCATCAGTCCCACCCCAGTCACTACCAAAAGGCTACCTTACAGCAAAAGAACGGTGGAAGAAGATGCAACTGTGACGAACTAGGCTGGTCTTTGTTTTGCTCCCTTCGCAAGAAGAGCAAGGGATCTCTCCTCCACGGTGGGTGAAAAGGGTGTTTCAGCTGCTCTCCTCCTGCCAGTGATCTGGAGCATTTTGCAGGAGGCATAACCATCTGCCAGCAGCGTGTGGTGGCAAGGAAAGCTTGCAGTTATCATGAGGTTGGTACAGATACTGATGAGTAATAAAATTTTAAAAGAATCAGGACAGGCTAGTATAGCATAGAATGATATCCATCATAATTAAAGCATTCATAAGAAGCTTAATTACAAACAAATACATTCTCTTAATCTCATTAAGACATCTATACATGTACTTTTTTCAGCTACTCTTGTCTTAGAAAGTATAAATTCATGATGGGGAAGGGGGGAAAAAAACAAATGTTTTTAAAAAGTTTATTTCTAGCCCTGAAAGAACAGTTATTAAACAAAGTCAACAAATACAGTAGTTAATATTGCAGTAACAATTAAATAACATAATGGGATTAAATTACACAAAAGGCAACATTAAAATCTGAAGACAGTTAAAAAAATAAAAAGAAAGCTTGCACCTACTTCCATTTCCACTGACAGCATGAGGAACAGAGGGGAAAATGGACCAGAGACATTTATTTATTCAACTCCAGCTGGAAAGACCCTTAACAACCTTCTTGCCACCTCCCCAGCCCACCCACCATCCCCTTTGACAGAGGGACCCAGCCTCTCCCATCTGCTCCAGCCACACGTTTTGCACCTAGTCTCATTAACACCTAAGGCAGGTCAAAGTGCACATTCCCAGCACCATGGTTGCTTTTAATGAAAAGTCTGGTTTATTCTATGATAACAAGAAAATCCCAGGAGTCACACATTCCCTGCACACTTGCAGCTCAGCCATAAACTGCCTGGCTCCATATACCTAACTAACCACACCACTGTACATTACACTTCATATGTATCACATGCATATTTGATTAGAATCTGACTCAGGATCTTATGCTGGCACCCAGGAGAGAGCAAATCCCAGCACTTTCAGATGAAATCTTTCTATTATCATCATCTACTCAAACTCTGGCTGGTCTCTGTCTGCCCTAGTGATACAGCAGAGTTGAACAGCCCCGCAGCAAGTTTTAAAGACACTAATCTGCTCCCTTCAGGGGAAAAAAACATGGCTTGCATTTTTTTAATCTTGCAGACACATCCAGCTGACATCGTTAGAAAAGCGATGCCCAACCCACTAAGACGCAAAAGCACAGTACAGCAGCCTTCTCCTAGCTCTCCTCTTCTGCCAGCTCCACCTCTGGCCCTGATCTCTGGCAGCAGGGGATGAGAAACCTCACCACGTAACAATACAACTGATTCGAGGGGAAGGGGAGATGTGGACACTTCTTGACTTCAGAGCTAAACACTGTTCCAGGTCACATAGCAAGTGCCAAGATATGTTTTGGTAACTTCTGGATTGGGCCAAGTTTTGTGTGCTAAGATGGCTGAAAGTTTGGAAATCATCTCCTAAGTAGACTAAATGGGACAAAGTTTGTAATATATGTTTTAAACCATTCTCATTCATCAATAGAAGTGAACTAATAAGTTAAAATTACTTATTATTTCATGTTTTTCTATTTTTAAAAAACCCTAAATTTATCACAAGTTATCTCACTGTCTAGATTGTGCCATTGAAAAAAAAAGAAAAAAGGAGGAAAAAAAAATAAAGCTAAGCTCCCAGTTTAACTCTGGCACAAGGAGCTTCACAAAGTCCATTGCCAGCAACGGACAAAGAGAGAATCATCAGTACAACAGGGTTTTTTTTCAGCCAAGCCTCCTGCCTACTTCATTTGACCAGGGAGCCAGATGCACTCAAGCTGGGGGCATCTCCATTACAGTGTTTACAGTGTCCATGGCTCGTAATACATTTTGCCTGGGAAATGCATCTAGATTTACCATTTTGCCTGGAATGAGACAATCCCTCCAATTTAAAACCATAACTATTCTTACACTTACAGCTAGAAGGATTTATTCCTTTGATAGAGCAGTTAACATAATTTATCCAACGTAAATTTTTACTACCACGCCAGAGCAGAATGCAAGCCAAACCATGATACTACAGTGCCCTGCACAACAAGGCACCTTATTGGTACCATGCCATTTCCTAGAAGCTAGTGAGTCACAGCAGACACTGTGAGACCCTAGCCCTGCTTCCCCTCCATCATCAACACAAATAGCCTCCACTGTTCTGGCCAGCTGCTCTCAGCTGGAAGTTGGTTTTGTCATAACTATGTTTTGGGGACTAGTAGCCAAGGTATCTCTATCACCATACAAACAGCAAAATTATCTGAAAATTACTTCTATCTTCTGCCAGCAATGTTTGTAAAAGTGTGCAAAAAATTTTTATTCAGGGTCCTCCGTCCATACCCAGCCATAACCCTATCTGTCCCAGGTCCTGCCCCACTGGGAATGCAATAAAATCCTACTAAAATAATGATTATTCTTTCACAGAATCGTTTGGCACATTGTAACTACAGTTGGCTCTTCGTTAAACTGTTGGGGAAGTTGAAATGCATAGACTGTGGCACTAGAAGAAGCCGGGGCACAGGCTCTTCTACACTTGCCCCGGTAACACCGCAAGAATTCAACCACCGAGGTTGCTCACTGTCCTTCAGAGGAAGGCACTTTTTTTTGCACTGAATGCTTGACTTCAGCCATTCCAGCTGGTCCAACGTCTTTAGTTAGAAAGGATCGTGTGACACATCACATCTCCTCAGCCTCGAACTAGCTGGTCAAATAAGCCCCATGAACGTCTGATGGCACTGTTCTCCCCTCTCAGCCTTTGTCTCCTCAGAACAGCGCTTTGGCATTTTCAGGTGTTCATGATCTTCTGTTTGAATCATATTTAAAAAATCCTCTATCTTCAGTGTCCTCAGATCTGATTATTTGTTCTTCTGATTTCATTAGTACAAATGGAGCACATACAAAATTGGAAAAAATAGCTCTAATACTTAAATTCTGACAACTCCATAGGTTGATGCATTATTTGCTTGGGGAAAAAAATTACAACATATACAAAAATGTATTTGATACAAAGAAGGGAAATGTAAAATAAAAAAGTCAAAGGCACCAGCATAAATTCCAAAGCTCAAGTCAGAGCACAGATACAATACATATTTTTGAACCACCCACTGCACCAAGCACATTATCCCTTAAGCTTCTGGCCAGCAAGTCTAATGGGAAAAAAAAGAGCAGACAGGAAGACAGCTGGATTTTTTTTTTCTTGCCCTGACTATAGCTGATCATTTGATCATAAATAAAGTATCTGACCCCTACCTACATATCCATAAACTGACATCCAAAGACTTGACCAATCATTAAGTTTCTACAAAGAGGCCACCTCTTCAATTAGAAGTCCACAGAGCACAGGCGTATGAGAAACAGCTGAATACTTCTCTTCCCCCTCTCTCCATATTCATCTTAAAAAGCAAAACACATCTCAATACATTACAATTTCTTAAGTAGCCAAGTTGTCAATTCTACAGTACAGTAACAGCTAATCCATAAAAGAAATGAGGGGCAAGATGTACCTTCACATTTGTCACACTTGCCATGAATCTAGTCATATGGGAGCTTACTAGAGCAATTTAAAAGTAAACAGGTAAAGGGGAGGAAGAGGAGAGTGAAAGAGATCAGCAGGTAAAATTAGTACTGCTCTCTGAAAGCTTGAATCTGTTATTCAAGTATTGAAAGTACCCAGAAGGGTACAACGAATGGGAGCTGTTACAGTGAAGTCGTTAAAAACCCTTAAAACCCCAAGCACAAAACCCCTTAAAACCCCGAGCACAGTAAGTGGCATTTCTGGGCTGTCTGGGGGGGGGAGGGGGGGGAAAGGCCAGTAATTCAGTCCTCAATTCCTTCTGGACCCCAGACAGGGATCGCTAAAGTCATGTATTTTGGGTGTCTTCTGGATGAGAGTTTCTTCCCTTTTGCAGACGTTTCCCCCCCAAAAAAATCCCTTCCCTCCCCCCAGAAGTGTAACAATTTTATATATTATAAAGATTTGTAAAATACAAACAAACAAAAAAAAGGATGAAGGCTGTGGCAGTAATGTTAGCGGTTACTCTTCATTGCTTCTTTGGCTGCCAAGATCAGTGGCGTCAAGCTAGACAGAGGTTTGGCCAGTTTCAAGAAGGGATGCTGCCAGGAAGAGAGAAACAGAGTGAATTAGTCAAAGACATGGTTTAAAAAGCCAGTAAAAGCCATACATCTACACAGCCCTTTTCATCCTGAGGTATGAACAGCAATGCAAATGCTATCAATATCCGGCTCCTGAAGGGACAAATCCAGAGCAGCTCAAACCTGATAATCGTTTCTCCTTGCCCCAAAAGAGCTTATGCCTTTCCTTTCCAATAATTCACTACAAAGAGGTTTCCTGCTCAAACATCTTCCCTCAGTCCCATTCTGCTCACTTCAATGGCGCTACTACAGTAAGTTCTTAAATTGCTGTATGCTTTAGCAGTGGCAGAATGAAGGCACAGATTACTGATGGAAAGACTTCAGAGTATATATTACAATCTTTGATGATTGTAGTTCCTACCAACTGCTCTCCACTAGAGTCCTCGGAAGAAAACACAAAAAAGAGAGTGCCAGTCTACAGTGCGGCTTATCACAGGCTGACCTTACTCGTGGTTTCTGTATCTCAGACTGTGAGAAGCAGCTGATTCTCACCTGTAGCAATTCTTTGGCTGATCCTCTTTTCTCTACATCCATCTCCAAACATCGGTTCAAGAAATCCCGGAATATTGGGGACAGTTTCTCGGGGTTCTGCAGCTCTGGTGTGCCATTAGTTGCTATCAAATATAAAGCCTGTAAAATGAGGAATATTGTATAAGCAAGCCAAATCTTTAAAAGATGCCAAACTGACCTGTCTAGCGGCAATCTCTTAGTCTAGATGAGAAAGGGCTTTGCAGCCTACTTCTCCTCTCCCTGATGACATGAAAAACTGTAAAAATGCCACAATTATAGGCAGTCATGACCTATTCTTGCTAGCAGCAAAATAACATTCAAAATCTTTTGGCACTGATACTTACCTCGACAAAGAAAATATCACATTCTGACACAAGCAGCATTTCTCATAACCTAATGGATTTATGTTCCCTAACTATCACAGAAGACTGAATTCAAAGCCCCATGGTTTAGTTACAGCAGGTACTCAACTTCTAAACAGACAAATTCAGGGTAGGACTGACTCCAAATTCAAGACAGCTGTCTTCCTTTTGGAGGAATTTTCTTGCACAGCTGAAGCTTGTTTGTTTTTTAATTTCATTTTCTTTTTAATGTAGATACTATTAATGAACAATTACTGAAAATGTTCATATGGTAAACACCTGCAAACAGTTCTAGGCACATCTGGGCTTCTTACCCTCAGGGGGTTTTCATTGAGGTATGGGGGTTCTCCTTCCACCATCTCAATAGCCATGATGCCCAGAGACCAGATATCCACTTTAGGGCCATATGCTTTCCGCGTGACCACTTCAGGAGCCATCCAGTAAGGAGTTCCAACCATAGTGCTGCGCTTGCTCTGCTCTGGGGTGATCTGAGCACAGAAACCAAAGTCGGCTGTAGGATAACAGAATTTTAAAAAGTTAAATTGGTGCACCCCAAGTAAGTGGGCTTCCTAGAATACTTCTCTATGACTACACATGTATTTTACTCCTCTACACTTGAGAGGGGCTTTTTTTTGGTCTTGTGTT